TCCAAATAGACTGAGAATAAAGTGTCAAATACATTTTGATGCTTAAACTCAGATCTTACAGACATCCAAGAAGCAAGTTTGCACACAGAAATATGTACCAAATCTTCTGTGTTTTTTGCTTTGTTACAGAAAATTCAACTGTTTCTCTCAGACCAAATGGACACCAGAACAGCCATATGTATGGTTCTCCAGATCAGCTTCCCCTTTTTCTTCAGGCCAGGCAGCTTCCAGCAACATTACAGGTCTTTGACAGAGCTGGGCATGACCCAGTCAACCCCTGCAGCTTTGAGAATGTGGTCCCAAATCTTAGCAGAAATGTGGCAGTGGATACTGAGGTGATCTATTGTCTCTGGTACAAGTCCACACAGCCCACAGTTCAGATCAGGGATCTGCAACCCTCTCCTATCCAAATTGACTTTTGAGAGACACTTGTTTAGGGTCAAAACCCAGACAAGTTTGCCTTGGAAGGGCTGATTGGGTTCCACACCTGTTTTCTTGGGAAGCCAACAACCCCTGTCTTACTATGCTTAGACGCCATAGACTTGACTGAAAGCATACCATCTGCACTCCACTTCCAACTCCAATCATCATCCAAATTTACTGAAATGCTTTGCCTCTGTAAAAGTTGCATGAACTCCATAAGATGATCCAACTCCCAGTCAAAACGATTTCTCCTAAAGAGAGGACTCCAGGAGATGGAGCCACCATTCGTGTCATAAGATTCAGCAACTGTGATTTCTGGGTTTGCAGCACACTAATAGAGCAGGGGGAAAGCTTCTGCAAGAGGAGTGTCCATGCACCAGGGATCCTTCCAGAATTTTATTCTGTTTCCTCTACCAATCTTAAAGCCTAACCCAGCTGAGAAAGCAGGGAGGGACTTCAGAATTCCTTTCCAAAGAGAACAACCCCGATTTTGCAGAGGGTCCAAAGAAGTCCAATTACCACAGTCCACGTCAAATTATTTGCAATTAAAATCCTCCACCAAGCATTCCTTTCAGCTCCAAATCTCCATATCCACTTACTCAGGAGGGCAGTATTAAAAGTTTTTAATTTCCTTAAACCCAGACCTCCTCCCTCTAAAGGCAAGCACACCTGATCCCACATAACAAGATGATTTTTCTTTTCATCTTCCCACCCTCTCCAAAGGAAGTTCCACTGAAGGGATTCCAATTTTTTTTGCCATCTTGGATGGGATGGGGGGGGGAGAGAGAATAGGTGGGGAGATTAGAGAGAGTACTCTTCAAAAGTGCTACTCTACCTCCAGCAGAGAGGTATTCTGCCTTCTAAGAGGCCAACTTTCTTTCCATCCGCTCGATTACAGGGGAGCCCCAGGTATTCCCGTGGAAGGTAATTAACATGACAGGCCAGCACTTCAGCTAAAGCTTCCGAGTTGTCAACCTGGTCCACAAGAAAGACTACACTGTTCCCCAGATTTACTTTCAGTCCAGTAACCACTTCAAACCAGCATAGGATACCAAGCATCAATTCCAACTGATCAGGAGCAGCATCAATAAAACAGAGAGTATCATCAGCAAATTGGAGCATGTGCATTCCCCACCCCCCCCACGGACAGATTTCAAAGCCATCCAAAATTCATCTTTGCCAGTACAAAATCAAGATATCTCCAATTGACATTGTAGAGAACACTAATGTGGACCCCACTAAGGTGGTCCCCACTGTTCGTATGTCAGCAATAAGTTATGATTAGGATTAGTTCTTTATGATAAGACTAATCCTAATCTTATAAAAGACTAGGCCTAATCTTATCATAAAGAACTAATCCTAATCATAACTTATTGCTGACATACGAACAGTGGGGACCACCTTAGTGGGGTCCACATTACTGTTCTCTACAGACATGATCATAGGCCTTCTAAATATCCAATTTACAAATCAGACCAGGTTTTCCATCCCTTCTTCTAGAGTCAATTAGTTCATTTGCAATCAGGACACTGTCCAACATTTGTCTACCAGGAACAAATGGACAATGATTGTCAGAAATTACATTGGATAGAACCTTCTTCATCCTCTCAGCCAGCACCTTTGCCAGAATCTTATAAAAGCTATTTAGGAGACTAATGGGTCTGAATCTTTTAAGTTTGTAGCTCCAACAACCTTAGGAATGAGAGAGATAAAGGTGTTATTCATACTTCTTTGTAAGGATGCCGATTTGTGAAAGTTCTGAAAAACATTTAGTAGATCTTGCTTGATAATGTCCCAACATTTTATATAAAAGAGATTAGTCAAACCATCTGGTCCAGGGGATTTCTCTGTCTCTAGATTTCTGATTGTATCCTTAGTCTCCTCCTCAGTGAAAGGCCTTTCTAAGGGAGACTCTGCTCATCTGACAGTCTCTTAAAAGGCGCATTAATTGGAAGAGGTCTGGAAGTACAAGGCTCTTTATATAAGTTTTTGTAGAAAGATGTAGCAATGGCCTTGATTTCTTCATTTGTTTCTCCTAGTCTTCCTTCACATTCCTTATTTGCTGATTTCCTTGAATCTGTTTCGGGCATTTGCGATTTTATGAAGGAAGTTTGTGTTCCTGTCCCCAACCTTCAGCCAAGTTGTTTTTCTCTCTGCCTCCATCTGATCTCATATCAAAGACTGCCTTAGCATGATTTCTCTTCAACCTTTTATATTGAGAAATAGGACCTACCTCTTCTGCTCTGTTATTCCAGATATGCCATGTAATAATAGAGAAATGCAAACATAATTTGTTTTTTCCCCCTGTTTTGACAGAGAATTATTCCCTAACAGCTGTACCAATAAGCTTCTAAGAGAGGCATTTGGTTCATAAGAAAAACAGAAGTCCAGTTATGAACCAAACCAGATAGGGATTGCCACTGGGCAGAAAAGAATAGCATGTTCTGTGGTTTCTATGTTTTCATGGCACAAAGACAGGAGGAGATGGTGCCAATACCACACTTGATCAGATTACCCCTTACCAGAAGACTGTTATGGATGGCTATCCACATAAAGTTCTTTGTTCTAGGTCCAGATATGTTTCCATATAGTAGCTTTACCATTAGGAATACCGACCTGTACTACACCCTGTTCTTGAGAGTTTGCAAGAAAAAATCTGACCCGACTGAGAACATGCCGTTTCTTTCACAGCTCCATACGAGCTTATCCTCAACTTCCTGATGCGGGATGTAGATTCTAGTGATTTCCATTGGAAAATAGAATTAATCTTTCCAACATCCGATATTCTATTCTGCTGTCAATGAGATTCCTTACAACGTGCACCTCAACATTAGCAGGTTGGTCCATGGGAAGAAGGACCCAAGGTTCATGTTTTAATTGCCTCATCAGTACCAACTTGCCAAAACAGACCTTTAGTGAGAAGCTCACAACCTTTAATCAAGTTTCTCCATCCCCAAGAAATGGACTAAGGACATTGGGCATGCAAGAAGGAAGAGTTTGCATGGTATTTGGCCTTAAAAAATCTTGCTATCAGAGATTGAGAAATCTCTAAGGTTATGTTTGGTTTGAAGGAAAAAGTAGGGAAAGGTAGGGTAACCTTTACAGACCTTGTATAGGTTTTCCTACTTTTCCCTTCCTTTCCCTACCTTCTTCAAACCAAACATAACTTAAGAGACTATAACCTTGCTTAGATAGGAGAGCCAAATTCATATTTCTTAAATCTCTAAGACCCAGCCCCTCCTTTTTTGATTATAATAGAGTCTTCCAACTAAATTATAACTTTTGGATCTTGAGGGAGCTTCCCCACCAAAACCTTCTTTGGGCTTTCATGATATCATCACACAGAGAGCTAGGCAAAAGGAAACATGACATGATATAGTTGGTAAGGGCACTGAGTACAGATTTTATAAGAACTTCCTTGCCTGCATAGAAAAGGAATTTATCTTCCCATCCTTGGGTCCTCTTGATAATTATCTCGAAAATAAAATTAAAGGCTTCTCTCTTGGATCTACCAATGTCTGAGGGAAGGCCGAGATACACTCCGGGATTCAATGCTCTTCTAATTTTCAAAGATTTGGAAAGCACTCGTTGAGTTCCGGGAAGAGTATTGACACTAAAAGACATTTCAGTTTTGGAGAGGTTAACTTTTTGTCCTGAAGCTCTCCCATACAATTTCAAAATTGAGAGAATAGTCTCATCCTCACTAAAGTTTGCTTTGCAAAAAATATAGCTATCATCAGCAAAGAGCAGATGCAATCATGGGGGAGCCAGCCTACAAATTTTCACCCCGTTAATCTTTTTTCTGATTCATTATGTCTCAAAACTGCAGAGAGCTTCTGAAACTAGCAGAAATAGAAAAAGATATAGTGGGTTACCTTGTCTGATATTTTCTCTTGAAAGCACATATTCATTTGTTTTCCTGTGTGTGTGTGGCTCTCTTTCTTACCCTCCTTAGGAAAGGAAATGACAAATACAATGATGAAGCTAAATTCATTCAAGGGGATCACATTAGAATAAAAGGAAGAACAAAGCAATTGATGATTTAATTTCCATCTTACATTATCTAATTTAGAAAGAGCTGAAATGATTAGTGAGAATTGTAATTAGATTCTCCAGTTTTGTCATTAAAGCTAGTTTCATTTGCAGTGACAGTCTTTATGATAATTATCCCTTTTTTTTAATCTTAACCATAATATGAGGAATGCTTGATTATTTATTCTTGTACATAGAAAGTTGATGTATTCCTTGTTGTGTGTTTCTTTTCTTATTAGCATATTGGGCAATGCTAGTTAAACCAATTTGGGGTTGAATTTCTATCAGTTAGTTCCAGCCTCTATTTCTGGATGCTGTGCAATGGTAAATTCACAGACCATTGCTTGGTGTAATGGTAAAATCTCAGGCTGGAAGTGTGAAAACTTTGGTTTCAATCTGAGAGTGGTCACTTAGTGCAAAAAATGCTAAAAGTTAGGACTGTATCCAGTCTACCCCTCCCAAGACCCCACATAGCTAGGACAACATTAGGTGATGGTCCTTTTTTTATTTCTAAATGCTGTGTATAATCTTATTTTTGAAAGCAGGAAGGTGCTTCCAAGGAGGATATTGACCAACTACCAAAATATAAATTCCAGAGGATTGGTAATTTTGAGAAAATTACTGGTGAGATACAAGGCCCTTTTGGAGGAATAATGACCAAGTGTGTGTCTGACACTGAAACACCAATTGAACATGTTCTCTCACTGGAAGATGCTGTAAGTTGTTTGGTTCTTATTTTTTTTATCATTGATTAAAAATCTGATTTTCACATATTGAATTATATTGGCACTTCAACATGTTAATTTGTTCTCTTGTATTAGTATCCCACTGTTCTTATATGGAAGTACTACAGCTTGTACTACAAAAATATTACAAATATTACTTGTGAAAGATTCATTATAGAAGTACTTCAGAGAAGAAGATACATAGGGTTTTAGATAGCAACCCCTGCCCACATGACTTACCAATTGGTATGCAGTTGCAAGTTGCAACTTGGGTCAGGCTCAAACCCAGACCCAGTTAACCATGTTGGAATTTATCTGACAGTTTTAGACCCTGGATTAAACTTGGATTGATTCTGTTGGTAAACCTGACGCAACCTGGACCCGGTAATGAATATTAATGTTTTACTTCATAATTATTCTCTTTGTATGTTTAGAACTTACAATGGACTGGTTTTGCCTACCTGACATATCTGGGCAATCAGAATTCCAAAGACAGATAAGGTGGCTGCTTCTTTCTTGGGCTTAAGTTCAGACCATTTTTTTCTCTTCCAATTGGATTGGTTCTGCTATTTCAGTGCCATGGAATCATGACTGGTTTTGCCTACCTGACACCAAGTGCTTCTGTCTGATGTCATGTAGAATGCCCCATATCATGCTCCCATGGCACTGAAATAGCAGGTCATTAGAAATGGAGTCTCAGTGACCCATTTAGAGTCCTTTTTTTTTACGTTTTGATTATGATGGGTAAAGATCACTTCAGAAAAATCTATTCCTAGATTTAAATATCTGTATTATTTTGTTTTTTGCAACAGCTTATTTGCCTCTTTATGAATGAAATCTTAACCATTTCTTCTCAACAAAATTTAAATGACAAAGTTGCATGGTTTTAGTAGTGGCAGGTGTCAAACTGTGAGGATGTGATCTTATAATCACATGTATTTCTTTTATTCTTTTTAGCAGTAAGGATATTCTTTTCCAAGCCTAGCATAATCCACCCCACTTATCCGGTTATGCCAACCCAGACCAACCCAACCTTATCCAACCTGGATTATCCTTTATGTGATTTATCTTATGGTCAAGCACCCTGCACTGGGTCAAGCAACAGGTTCAATTTCTATATTGGGCTTTGATAGGCTCCAACCTGGATTAGCAGTAAGGACTTGCCCTAAGTTGCATTTGTAATCTAATTTTGGTACATGTGGTATTCTATTAGGAATGTTGTATCTGCCTTTCGACCTATGATGATGGAGCTGAACTGCGCAAACTTCCCTGCAGTCATCATTTTCACTGTTCCTGCATAGACAAGTGGTTGTACATTAATGCTACTTGCCCCCTCTGCAAGTACAACATCATAAGGAGTGGCAATCAAGGTAGGGAAGAAGTATAGAAGGTGGGCTCTTAAGCAATTGTAGTGACATTTCCTCTTCCTATCCTCTGGTATATGTGCTTGTAGGCTGACACAAGTTCAAGTTGTGTATAATATTTTGTTCTGTAGCCTGTCTTTCTGTCTTGCATAGTTGGGCATAGGGCTGGCATTTGAAATATTGATGCTGCCAGCTGCTTCAGCATAAAGGGTGTTGGTGCAGGTACTATTATAGTTGTGGGTGTCTTCATTATTCATTGCCTTTGTATTTTTGGTTTTGTGTTCTAATCCTATACCAGCTTGTGTATAATGTCTTGTAAGTTACAAAGGAACCAACCGGCTGGGTTAATGTGGAGGCTATTTGTTCTCTCTTTTATTCACGAAAACGGAAATAGTCTAGTTCTTTAAATGAAAATTTATTGTTTGCACAAGTTGGAAAAGCAGATTCAAGATACATGGGAAAGAATGGGAAAGGGTAGTGATTCAGAAAGCTCTTATTTGAAATGATCTATAAGCCATCGTGTTTTAGTCTGTGTTTGGAAACGATGCATTTAAGTGTGAATGCAAATATGTAGAGTGTAAAATGGTCCATATAAATTGCAAAGTTGGGTTAGTTTTGCACCGACAAATTTAACTTTTTACCAAGTAGACTTTTAGTGGTAATGGATGCAAACACAAATTCCAATAAAGCATATCTTTTTCTTTTTCTTTTATTTTTTTTATCAAAAGCCCACTTGAATGCAAATTTACTTCTTTTTTATTGATGTACTTTTACATCTTATTATCAATGTAAATATGCATTGGAAAATGTGTTTTCTATCATTTGTCAATGCATAAATGTAATGTTGCTAAAGCAAAAGTGAACCAGAGTGCAATTTTACCCTGAATCTGGATTTACACTCCATTTGCATCGTTTCCAAACGCAGCCTTAGAAGCAAGAAGTGAGCACAATACATTTCTTAGAGCCTAATGCTGTGTTTCGTTGCAGTACAATTTTATTTGTACTAGTACAAATGCATGGGAGTGTAAATGAAAAAAAAAATGCAAATTCTCTATTGATTTTGTTTTGGGTATTATTTTATTCTGCTTTATGTCTCAATTTACATAAATTGCACTGCAATCAAACAAAATACGCTAAAATTTGAAATAAAAATTGGTCAGAATTTACACTTGAATCATTTGCACCGCCGTAGTTTTACATTTGTGCAAATTTATTTGCATTGCAACCTGAGGTACAACTGTGCAATATCGGGAATTCAGGATTGGAGGTGCAAATTGGGTGGGCTAAGTCACACAAATGTGCATCTAAACAAAGTGAGAGACCACTTTTGGAGAAAAGGAATTAGTAAAGCAAAGCTTGCCCCGTTTGGCATTGTTCTGTGGGAACACTCCTTTTGTTCCCAATGTTCCTGCAGTACAGAAGTATGTTTGGTACGCAAAAAAAATGAAGAAAGAACTTATTCTAGAACAAGAACAAGGCCTGAAGAACTTAGAACACGAAGTGAGAAATGTGGTATTAAGATGTGTGACTGGGTTTCATATGTTAATAGGGGTATTGTTGTAATTTCAGACAATAAAAGAAAATCGTCTTTCTCTARACTCTAGAGCCCCTCTCTCCATCAACAACCCTCTCTAGTGGCAAACGCTGAGAAGAGAGATCTGACTCCCCCTTCTCCGGTAACAATATCCATGTACTAACACATCACCATGTTCTTGTTTTTTTTTTYCCCCTTTTTTTTGTTGTATCTTTTCTCGCAATAATGCCCTTTAAGGCATCACAAACCCGTAACCTTATTGTAAACATGGGGTGAGCACTCCGATGCTTAAATCAGTCGAGTTAGTAGAGTAGGAGAGCAAGAGAATAAGATCTATGTTTGCATTGGATTGCACATACTTTGTAAAGGAGGGTAGAGTCCCTTTTATAGGCGTTGGGGGTCCAAATTCCGTGTTCGAGATATTTGGGGATGTCAAACCTTATCGGCTTGTTATCTTCAAGGCACGTTTCTCCCACGTTGGTGGGGATCCTCATCCAATATCTCTGAATTGTATGGAGACCGAGGTTATCCATGTTGAGTGAGCGATGTGCTACCGCCCGACTCGGAAGCAATAGGCGTGTTACTCTAGGTAAAGGTCAATCTGCCACACAGGTTGGTACCCCAGAGGCGGTTGCTTGAATCGTTCGTTGCCCGGGTTAGAGGAGTGCAAGTTGGTCTTCAAGGTCCTTGACTTTGACTCCCAAGGTGGAAAATGTTGTTCTATTGCAGAGTGTCTGGTTGGTCTCCCTAGGTCGAGATACGCACCCCATGTGGCGTTGAGGTGTCATCAGATGGTTCGGTGTGCCACGTGTCTCTTTGTGACTAGTTGGCTAAGTTTCCCTCCATCAATTACCCCCACTCCCGAGGTTGAGGTCGACGAGCTCAGAGAGAGAGAGTAGTTTGATCAGGGGCGAGTCCGGCCAGAGTTTTGACATAGGATCTTCAGTGGACCATCAGTTCAAGGTTGGAAAGATCCAATTTGTGTTGGGCCATCTAATAGGTCGCGTCCTAGGCACAAGCAGACGCTACGCGAAAATTAAGCTCCGCAGACGTAAAAAATGTGCTCAATTGATTTAGCCTCAGAATACGTGCCATTGCAGTCTCTTGGCTGTTGGATCGTTCCAATCTCAGTCATTTGTAGGTCGAGTTCCCCACCTATAAACAGCCCCCCCGGGGGTCCATTTGCACCTGTTGAGAACTTTGAGCAAAGTTGGAGTGTTTGAAACCTCATGCAGATCGGTATTCTCATCGAGTCAGGTTGGTTTTAGTCACCCTTTCCTCAGTTCAATGAGTCTTCTTCCCTTCCTTTTTCTTTCTTTTAATTTTATCATATCGAGTGGTTCGTTTGAGGGAGAGGACCGGAGGGGTGCACGTGCCAAGGTAGGGTCTTCGGCATAGAAGCGACAAGGTTCCCACAAAGAAGTCCCTAATCAACGAATTTCTGGCTGAGGAGATGATGATCCACTTCGGACTTAGTCCTCCAGGTAGGTTTTTGTCACAACACCTAGGTCATTTTTGTTATTGTACATCACTTATGTTGATGCTTTTGCTGACCACGTGTTATACTTGCAAGAAAAGATATGGCAGATATGGACGTCGTTGAGCTCTTCGCTAGGATGTAGAGCAAGAAGAAAAAGACTTCCGAAAAAGGATGCCCCCCGAGCAAGGGCCTCAAAGGTGACGCAGTCGACGGATGAGGAGGGGATCCCGATGGTCGTCATCAAGAACAAGCCGCAGGTCAAGTCTAGAAGGGAGCCTGTAGAGGGCCAAACACTCGAGGACCATTGTACCGCTCCATCGAGTAGAGAGCCTACCATCCTAGGGACCGGAACCTTAGGGAGACATTCTGTCTTTGACCTAGCAATGGTGCTAGAACTAAGCAAGGTAGTCGTGATCCCTAAGGATGTCATCGAGCACCACAAGAAGTGCCCTATCGTCACCGGTAGCATCACCTTGCACCATCTCAATGTGGCAAGTACCCGAGATCTTCCTCAAGCAATGCAATTGTTTCCTCCGGTTTGCCCTATGCTGTCATCCCTTCTCTTTTCTTTTCATTTAGTCCAACACTTAAACACATGCCCTAATGGATTGGGCTGAGGTGAGCTTCCGCCGATGCGAGGTCTTAGAGAAGGAGGTTGAGGAGTCTGCTACTGAAATTAGGGATTTGAGGGCTGAGGTGGCTCGAGGGATGGTTGAGCAAGCGAGGTAGATGAAGAGGGTGGAGGATTTATGGGTGAGCTGGAGCAAGTGAAGACTGAGCTCGAGGAGTGTAGGTCCAAATTCTCTAATGAGCTCTGCTAAGCAAAGGAGAAGGTCATCCAGGAGTACATCACCTTGCTCGCATGCCAAGAGGCCAAGGATGATTATGCTCTCTCAGCCTTTCGGAAGGGCTTCAAAGTTTGCCACATGTTGGCCAAGTCCCTCTTCCCAGAGACCAAATTCAGTAGCTGGAACAGCTACAATGTCCTCAATGCTATGCTTGTTGGCAAGGAGTCAGACTCTGAACCCAAAGGGAGCAACGGCGATGAGGAGGGCCATGGAAGCAGCGACAACGAGTTGGTTGAGGGGGAGGAGGCATCAAAGGTCAGCGACGACCAACCTCCCACTAAAGAATGAAACTTTTACATCTGTTCTTTAGACCCCCCATGTAAATACTATGTATTCTGATCCCCTGAGCTCGATCCTTCATGCTTTTGCTTTTTTTTTGTTTGAAGTATCGATGTACTTGTCTTCATTTTGCTAAGTAATGGGAATTTCTTTTGCCGACATGAATACCTTGTTGCACCCTTTTATTTTCTAAGTCCTTAGACTTTTGGGAAATATGCTAAGTTAAAAAACGTTTGTCGATGTGCTTTTATGTTGATGTGCCCCCGAGAGGTCGGCTTTTGAATTAATGAGTAGAAGTGCATAAAGAGGGTGGACCTTTGCTTCAAATCGGACCGAACTGCTCATAGTGGGTTGGTAAGACCAAATTGCATAGTGGGTTGTCGCATGGGCCAGCTTGGAATTTTGAGTTGGCTGTTGCTAACACAGAATTTTTTTTTGATCCTATGGGCTTGGAACCACCTCAAACTTAATACATCTTTATGCTATTAGCATTCCACATCTAGGGGACTTGACACCCCTCCAAGGTTTCAAGTTCATAGGTCCTGACCTGATTACCTCAGTCACCTTATAGGGACCTTCCTAGTTCGGGCCAAGCTTTTTGGCTCCTAGTTCAGGCACCATGACTTTTCACAATTTGGAAATGTCTCTTGACCTTAGCGTTGTAGTACCGAGCTACCCTCTTCTGGTAGGCAGTAGTTCTAATTTGCGTCACGTCACGAACTTCTTCTACTAAGTCCATATTAGTGTGCAGGTCACCATCATTCTCTTCGTCATTATAGGTTTCCGACCTGAGGGTCGGTACCTCGATTTCAGTTGGGATAATGACTTCTGTCTCGTACGTCAGGTTGAAGGGTGTTTTGCTAGTTGGCATCCTACTCATTGTATGATACACCCAGACACTGGGGAGCTCATCTACCCACAAGCCCTTAGCTCGGGCAAGTCAGGCTTTTAGACCTTAGAGGATTGCTTTGTTGGTCACCTCGGTTTGCCAATTTTCTTGCAGATGTGCGATCAACATGAAATTTTGCTTAATCCCCATATCACCACACCAATCTTGAAACTTGATGTCCTCAAACTGCTTCTTGTTATCCGAGGTCAAGACCCGAGGCATTCCATATTAGCATATGATACTCTTCTAAAAGAAGGTTTGTACATTCCGACCTGTAATGGTCGCCAACAACTCATTCTCCACTGATTTTGTAAAGTATTCCACTACCACGACCAAGAACCTTCTTTGCCCGATTGCCGGTGGGAAAGGATCGAGAATGTCTATCCTCTAATGTGTAAAT